ATCGCTTCCAAACTGCTTCAAATTCAACGATTTCGAAGCACTCTGTCAACCTGGACCGCGGGCTAGATCAAACCACGATTACGCTTTCCGAGGGCTCGCCCCACAACGGGGCCCCGGAAAGGGTAATCGTGGTTCGACTTGGCCCGAGGTCCAAGCTCTGCGAATATCTCCGTACCATTGTGCTTGTATTTCACATCATACCCTGCTGTGCAAAATTATAGTAGGTAGCAAATAAAAGGTTAACTCTGTCAACTGTTTAACGCAGTCAAGAAACTCGTCATATGGGTGTCGGTCGATTTCGTTGATGAACAGAGGGTATTGCGAAATCTGCCGTTGGTTCACACCACCTCTATGCCTTACAAAAATTTTGGTCCGAAGCTCTCGGAAGGTGGATGGCTCGTATTCTTGAATTATTTTTCACTAGTTCTTTTCATTCAATCCCAATTTGTCGTCCATTCCAACGATCTATCCGCTGCCTGGTGGTACTTTCAAGAAGTGATAATATTTTGTTCTATTCACAAGTTTACATGACGTTCTTACACAACGTTTATTCGGCCGACGCGTTTGAACCTCTTCTTCTTTTTCTTCAGAGCCCGATTGGCCCGAGTCGATTGCATAACAACCTTGTGTAAGCTCATGAATGAAACGAAATATTATTGATTACCCGTGCCGCCGTTAGGTTCCGATCGATTCTCGGGGGTTTTCTTCGAGAATCATCCTTCGATCCACAAGGTATCTGCAGCCGCAATCGATCAAAAACGTGCCCAAATATCGTAAGCCGTCGTCTTAAAGGACACTTGCATCAGCAGGTGTCATTTTTTCCTCTTTTCTCCCTCGTTCATTCGTCATCCACATTCCTCACTAATCCGGCGACTTGTCGCCGATTTTCTTCATTCCATTCCAATTATTCACATACTTCTTAACATTCCCTTATAAGCCTACTAGACAAGTAATCAATTAAAGTTAGGAGAACACTAACGAATCGTATCGAACTAAGCGTTTTCTGTGACTTTTTTAATCTTATGACTTATTCAGTTACAATGTCATTATGCAATTTGTAACAAACCGCATATTATGTGCTACATCGTAAATATGTAGCACGTGTATCACAGTGTTCAGAGGCGCCCTGCAATACACATGGGATCGATCCCCGCGTCCTAGGCCCACCAAGCCCGCCAGCCCTCCTGAGTTGGTAAATTGGTACCAGACTTGTCTAAGAGGATAGCGGCACTGGCGCGATACATCGGTAGGCCACCGCGAGTCATTGTAAAGGCCAGATATACATTGACTAACAGTTACGAATGGAGCCCAATGAATGGCGCATCCCTCAAGGATTGATCAACGCCGAGACCTTTATACTTTTCATAAACACAGTCCGTAGTTGCAAAACACGTTTCTATCGCTGATAACCGTATTTGTCGCACTTTCTTAGTTCTGCGAGCATTTTTTAGTTCTGCCGAAATGTCTCTTCATTGCAAAACTGTTCGTCCTTATTCTCAATTGGAACTCGTTACCTGAAGTGCCTTGCTCTCCCATTTCTACAGTTATGACTACGGACAGTGCGCTATCTTCGAAAGTCATATGATCTCGTAACAAATCGAAAGGTTGACTTCATATGGACCTCTGTATTAATGACGATTAAAAGGATAAAGAAGGACAAAGCTCTCGGCGTTGATCAATCCCTGAGGGGTGCGCAATGCATTCGACTTCATTAAGCTCGTTTGGAGGTGACTGAATGCATATCTGGCGTTTACAATGACTCGCGATGGCCTGCCGATATATCGAGCCAGTGCTGCTATCCTCTGAGACAAGTTTGTCAGCAATTTGCTGACCCCGGAGAGATGGTAGGTTTGGCAAACTATGGGCGCGAGGATCGATTCCACGTGTAATGATGATTAATTTATTTAAATCCTACAAACTGTTTTTTTTTCGTGGTAACGTTATTATTAAGTGTTCTTGAAACTTGAGGGCATTTCCACTCAAGACAGAGCTGCTGATGGTGGAGACGAAATCAGTCGAAAGAAAAGAACCATACGAGTTGTCCTTGTTGAGTTGACGCAAGGCTATTTCTAGGTGCTCTTGAAACTTGATGGCCTACGTTTCGACAATTTCGTCATCTTCAGAGCTGTTTACATTTTGTAAGATTTTTTTAAAGACATTACAAAACGGAAACGGCTTTGAAAAAGTCAAGTCGCGGGTTAAGTCATTGTGACGTCAGCCATCGCGTTTCATGAACACCCAATGAGAACCTCACGTCAGCTCAACAAGGGCGACTCTTATGGCTCTTTTTTCTAATTTCGTCTCCAACATCAGCACCTTTTTCCCAAGCGAAAATATCGAAATCTTAGTTTAACGTAGGCATTATCCTCATTGTTCGCGCTTTATGTTATGAAACTCTCCAAGTAGTTCCTGCAAATAACAATCTGCCCTCCGTGATTGCACTTCACAAGTTAGTTTCACACAGCTTTTCATAAGCAGTGTTTCTTCTTCTTCTTTTCCTGACAGCAAAACAGCTTTAAAGGACTGGTTAAAGTATAAAGAAATCGGCTAAGAGAAAGTCTGAGATTATCCTGAAGAAGCCTTTCCACAGACGCGTGCAGCGCAGTGGTCGGAGGCGCCCTGAAATTCACCTGGGATCGACCCCCGCGGACCAGGCCCATCAAGCCCTTCATTCCTCCAGGGTCGCCAAATTGGTACCAGACCTGTCTAGGTGGATAGCAGCACTGGCATCAGTAGGCCATCGCGAGTCATTGTAAAAGCCAGATAGGCGTTCAGTTACCTCCAACAAGGCTTAATTAAGTCGAATGCAAGGGGCACCCCGCAGTTATTGATCGACGCCGAGGACTATTTTTAAGCCCTTTCCAACTTTTTAAACATAATTTACTGTTTCTCCTTCTGTTTTTAACTCCAATGATCAAAAAGGCTGCCACTTATCAGTTATCGAATGAGCCCGGAAGTTATTTCGTCAGGCTTATCACTAAAAGATAATCGAGAAGCTGCTAGTTTTGACCTGGTTTTCAGTTGGAGTTTCCTACATAAAATCAATACAATATGCTTCCTGTTTTTTTTCCCTACTTCTGCTTTGCATTACGTTCCAATGACTTTGTTTTATGAAATATTCGCTATCAGTGTGTGAATAACGCTATGAATAAGCGCTCTGGTTATTACAATCCACTGACACCTGGAGTTCTTCCTGCTTGTTCAGTATCTGTTCTACTGCCGTGATTTTTCTTCGATTAATAAATTCGCAGAAGAATCAGATGTTTTTCACTTATTGAATGTCGCAGCGAGACATCTTCTCTTCATAAAAGCAAATTTATATCCATTTTTTAACCCTTGGAAGATAACGGGACTGGAACTACTGGCGGCTAAGGAGATCCTTTTGCTACAGTTCAGTTTATTTTCCCTCTCTATGCTTTATGCAGTAAGGAAAACTCTCATTTAAACTTTGTGTTAGCGAGACGAAACTGATTACTTGATAGCTTCCGACAGTTTTCGATAATTTGAATGCTTGGGGAGTTGGGAACTTAAAGAACTCGATGAAGAGGCCTTGTGGTTTTCTTGTAAAAGTCTGCGCAATCGTCTGAAGTGTTACATTTGTTTTAGTCTTTTTTAACTGAATATTGAAAAATATGCGACGAGGAAAATTTAAAAGTTCTGACCTAAGAGCGTCAGTCGTTCCAAGTTATTGACGCCTTCGAGGACATCATCAAGTGGCGATGTGCGAAATCCCGCTTGTTCATTCAGTTTGTCAGGTAGGAGTAAGTTGATACAACAGAATAACTAGGAAGAAGAACTACCTTTAAAAGGGATAAAGGATAAAGCTGTTGTCGTTGGTCATTCCCTGAGGAATGCATATATGGCCTTAACAATGACTCGCAGTGGCCTACCGATGTATCGATCCAGTGCTGCTATCGTACCAGACAAGTTTCGTAACAATTTGCCGACCCCTGGGGTGTGGTCCGATCACTGCGCTACGCGTGCCAAGAACTACTTTAGCTTTAAGAAATATCATCGTACCATGTAGAATCGATCTTTTGTTGCCAAAGATTTGTAGATTCAGATGGTTTCTATACTGAACGCATTCGTGAGTCGCGTGAAAAGACCCTAGTTTTTCACTGCTCAGGGTATCAATCGCTACCTCTGCCAGAAAGCGTTTTCCTCAATTTGTTATACTTAGGAAATAGCTTTTCTGGGTATGAAAATAATATGAGTCAGTAGGGAGGTCGATGTCATGCTACAAGTATCGCAAGAGATATTGAAGTGCTAAATGAAACAACTTGAGAAGGAATGAGTGGTATAGAACTCATACAGACTGGAGTGCTCCAACACGCACTAGTCATATGTAGTTCATGCCAGCACGAATGTACTGATGAAGTTTGCTGTAAGCTGAGATATGTATGTTTAAAATGAAATTGCTGAGTTAGTTTCCACTTTTATATATTCATTAAAATCATCAAATGTCGTCGTGAATGTGCTAAGAGCGGAATAGATACCAGTCGTCGTGGCACCGTCGTTCTTCCGATCAGCTCTGTTTTATCAGATGCATGTCCAAGGCTTTAAGCAGGCGATAAATGTGTAGGGACTTGTTCAACGAAGTAATTCGATGTGTTTAGAAAGGTGATAGCGTTCACCTAATTTATTAACATAGCGATGCTCAGTGGTTCCGGGAAACGACACGGGCCACTCGTCATCGAAGATGAAGACCACGAGCTCCTACCCTCCACAGCTTCTCCCACTTCCGTTCAAAAACACGGATCACGGTTTACTCTCAATGTTGATCTCAATCACACTCATCCCAGCAGCACCTCCATGTCACGAACAAATAGCCATAGTGGGTTTTAGAAGATTAACTGAGCTCAGAAACAAAAATTGTTTACGCTGTGGTTTTTTTCCCTTGTAATTTTATACGTTAAAACTCCATTTTTTTAGAAGAGCTATTTGCGTGGGGTGGCAAAGATGCTGGAAATCACAACCTGGCTCTTTTCGAAGAACCCTCCATGCCATTCTTCTCCAGTTATCTCAAAGCACATACAACACCTGGGCCACTTGAGCGAATGCAAAGCGAGAATCAGAAGAAGAAGGCGTGAAACATTTTTTCTTCTTTGTCTTTTTTTTACGTATCTTGTATTTTTAACCTTTTCCTGTTTTCCCCAAATTATTTTTTAGTTCTAGCTAAAGCTCTTTTCGCAACCATTTACCGCTTCATCTTGGCTGGGAGGTGTTCCTGGGTGTCGGGCTGCGATGTACAGCGTGGTGATTCACCCTGCAGCAGGGTCTTCTAGGTTGAGAAGGACTCTGACGTTTCGATCAGGAAGCCTAGCTAAGAGTCAACCAATACCAGGATCCATCACCGTGCTGGTATCAAACTAGTCGCATGATGGTCAATCTCCATCTTATTCATTGAAGGGCGGCAATTGCTTGTGGTGGTGACGACCTGGGCCAGACTTTTGCCTGGATGACCTAGGGACTTCAGGGAACCGTAAAGGCTAAGTCAGCGGAACTCCGAAGAAGTGGAAATTATGCTGGTTCCCGAACAACCACTGAAGACAGGCCATCCAGTTATCCAAGCATCCAAACCAAATCTTTAGATAGTTGTTAGGGATATCTAACTCTGAAGTTGTATTGTAGTTCTTCGATTAAGAGTTGGTTTCTACTGCTATGGAATCACTTTGTTTTTCATAGGATTTCATAACCGAAACGTAGTGATAATAAAGAGTTCTAGAATACAACCACAATGACAATGATATATTTGCAAAACTCCGGGCCGCAGGTGTTTGCGGTGGGGAACGAACGTGCTATTTTCCTTTCCGGGGGCTAACGCGTTCACCACCACACCATGAGGGTCCTTCATTTCGCCTTTCTCTCAGCTAGTTCTATCGATCGGAGCCATCAGCAACCATCCGTCGACGGGATTGATCTAGGAACATAACTCAGCAACGAACCCAGTTATACTGAGGCTGTAGTCGAAATCGCAATGCTAACCTTTTTATTCACTGCCTACTATAATTTTTCATGGCAGAGTATTACGTGTGATACAACAAGTTCTAGAATATTTCAGGCAGATCTCGGCGTTATGCTTGGTGTGTATTTACCAACGATTCAACATATTCTGGGTGTCACAATGTTCATTCGTTTGTTTTGGGTGGTTGGAATCGCTGGACTCGGCCAGACATTTGTTCTTCTGTTCCTCTGTTGTCTATGTGTAAGTGAGCCGAACCTAAACATTGAAAACCTACGATATGAAGCTATGAAAAGTGGACATCTAAATTAGGATGCTGTTGATTGCAAAGAGGCGCGTGTGGCGCAGTGGTCGGAAGCGCCCTGCAATACACACGGGCTCGATTACAGCGCATCAAGCCTTCCATCACTGCGGGATGGGTCGACAAATTGGTACCAGACTTGTCTGGGAAGATAGCAGCACTGGTTCGATACATGGGTAAGCTACTGTGAGTCATCGCAAAGGCCAGATATGCATTTAATCACCTCCAACGACTCTTAACGAAGTCGAATACATGGTGCGTCCCTTAGGGGCCGATCAACGCCGAGAGCTTTATCCTTTTGTTTTTTTTTAATTGCTTATTTTTCCATTGATCGTTTAGTAGTCAAGTAACGCCTATTGTTTTTCACGTCTTCAAGATTATTCCAGACATTCTTGACGTGCATCTCGATTTCTGCGGTAGCTACGAACGGTGTTGTCGAAAGCGGTGGAGCATATTTCATGATATCAAGGAATCTTGGGCCTGAGTTCGGCTCTGCTGTAGGCTTACTGTTCTATTTGGCAAACACCGTTGCAGCTTCAATGTATCTCGTAGGAGGCGTAGAAATCCTTCTCGTAAGGGTTTTCTTTCTCTTCGTGGAATTTGTACATTGTGTGAGAAGTATACTGTATAATTCCAGTTGTACATATTTCCTGGCTTGACTATTGGTGGCCCAGAGGTACACTCTCAGACAGGTTGACTGTTTCTCATCTTCGGATAATGAGGGTCGAACTCTCGATGACAGATTTCATTAATTTTACAGGCGCTTTTGGAATGATGACAAACAATCTTCGTTTCTATTCCACATTACTTCTTTTGCTAGAATTTATTATTGTTGCCATGGGAGTGAAGTTTGTCCAGATGCTCGCCCCGGTTCGTTTGTCTTTAGCTTTTTTGAAGTATCGGTCTTCTTTCTGAAATGTAGTGTTAAATTCTTTCAAGGTTTCTTTACTTTGTGTGATTCTGTCAATTCTGGCTTGCTATGCAGGTGGTATCGAAAAGACTGTAAACCCTGATGCTGGTCTAAGGTTAGGTTAGCGCCTTTGTTTGAATTTTCGTTTACGTAAGATGATTAAACAGTTCCTCCCAGCGGTTTACCGCCTCATAGTGGCTGGGAGGTGTTCCTGGGTGTCGGGCTGCGATGTACAGAGGGGGCAGTTGTCCGCCTAGCAGGCCCTCCCAAGCTGAGAAGGAGTCAGGCGTTTCCATTAGGAAGCCTAGCTAAGACTAGTCATATGCCAAGATCTATCACCGTCCTAGTAACAAACTAGTCGCATAGAGGCAAATTTCCCCTTATTCTGTAAAGGACGGCGACTGTTTGTGGTGGTAACCACCTGGGACAGACTTTGGCCGGGCTGAGATCGAGACTACAGGGAGCCACAATGGCCAAACCAGAAAACTTCGAAAAAATGGAAATTTTGCTGGGGCACGTACAACGAGTGAGGACGGGCCATCTAAGTATCGAAGTATTCATGATGAAACACTTGACAGCATATATACAAGAAATGAAAAATAAAATACAGTAGTGCTTCGCAGACTACCTGGTTATGAGATCGTGTAATAAATGGTTTATCCAGTGTTTCCCTGCAGGGTATGTATGTATGGAGATCATCTTCTACAGTCGAAATTCGTCATACCAAGAGACAACGGCTCTATTTATGACATGTGCGATTACTGTACTCTGAAGTGAGTATTACACTTTGCTGTTACGAAGATCTTAGTTATGTACAACATCGTCGAAATGGCTTTACAATCTTGATTTTTCAATTTCTTTTCGTTTTAATTTTGTACGATTGGTGAATCGTAATTAAGAGCAGTCAGAATGTAGCCGTCCATGCCTGTCATTCCTTCGTGGTTTGGAGATAGTTGCTAAAATGACAATGATGCTGAGGTATTTATAAAACTCCGAACTACAGATGTGTGCAGTGGGGATCGAAGACGCTTTTACCATTTCCGGAAGCTCAAGCGTTTACCAAAGAAAACTAGCTGAGAGACACCCGAAACGAAGGACCAGCATGGTGTGATGGTGAACGTGTTAGCGCCCAGAAAGGGTAATTGCTTGGTCGTTCCTCACCGCAGTCGTCTACGGTCCGGAGTTTTGCAAATATCTCAGCATCATTGTAGTCGTATTTTTCACGTGCTGCTCTGCCGTGAAAATTTGTAGTAGGCAGTAGATAAAAAGTTAGCATCGTTGCTATACTTGTAGAGAAAAAGCTCTATTCAATCTTGAAGAAGTGAGACTGCTAGTGGTTAAGTTAATAGAATCCGTTGGCATGGCTATCCCAAGATTACTGTGAGAATCGATTCGCTCAGCGTCCAACGACATTCAGAAGTCCAAAAATCATCACGCAACAGCCTAAGTGCCCGAAAGTACAAGGAACTTCGTACTATATGAATGCATTGAAACGAATCGAATGCTGGGATCTGCACAATATGTTTTGTCGGGTCGTTAGAAAAATATAATTCGAGAGACCGAATCTGTTGTTTTCTTGGACCATTAAGCTAAAAATTTGCAGAACTTATTACGTTCATGAGTTTCTTTTCTTTACTGCAAGTTTTCAGTAACACCTTTGTGGTGGAGAACCTTTGTCCGCGAGGGAACTGTTCAGCTGACGTGCTATCTACTCCTTTAGCGTGTATCAATGGGTTTCCTGGTTTTAAGAGTTATGCTTTTATGGGTGAGATTTTACGCAAAATCTTCTTATTTTGGTGCCATAACTTCTGCTCTTCCGAGGAATTGTGCTACATTCCCCATTTTCTTTTTATTTGAGAAAATCTTGGAGCACAGTATGTCGATAAATTCTACACCACAGTTGACGATAAGGCCGATTTTAAGCGCGACGTTTTCCAGGTTGCCATTTTAACCTTCCCACTGGGCGTTCTAAAAGAATAAATTTTCTGTGACCCTATTTTAGGATGTGAGAACCTCGTTTTGGGTTCTTCTTGCTATTTACTTTCCAGCCGTCACCGGAATTTTCACTGGTGCTAACATGAGTGGTGGGTCATATCATTTCTTTTATTTTTTATGACTTTCTATTGTTATCGTTACCTTGTTACTTTCCAAGTTATAATCACTGCAAGCCACCCAACGGTTCAACGCTTCATCGTGACCGAGAGGTGGTCCTGGGTGTCGAGCTACAATGTACAGCGGGAGGACTCTTCCCTCCACCAAAATCTCCCAATCTGAGAAGGAGTCCGGCGTATCCGTCAGGAAGCCCAGCTAAGAGTAAATCAATGCTAGGATCCGTCACCGTCTTGGTATTAAACTAATCTCATGCTGGCAAATCTCTCACTTATCCGGGAGCGCGGTGTTTGCCTGTGGTGGTGACGACCTGGGCAGACTTTTGCCTGGATGACCTCGGGACTTCAGGGAACCATAACGACTAGACCAGAAGAACTCCGAAAAAATGGAAATTATGCTGGAGCCTGAACAACCAGTGAAGACAGGCCATCCAAATATCCAAGTAAGTATGTCACTGCAAGTGCGTAAGATCTCTGGTACGTAGTTGTGGTTTTATTGATTTGAATTATTAACTTCAGTTCTTTCAGAGCAAGTTGACTTATGTTTTACAAATAAGCATCATTTTTACTGAATAGCATAAAAGGAAGTCACTTTGATCAATATTTACATTAAGGGGATTTGAAGAACCCTCAAACGTCAATTCCTAAAGGAACAATAGCTGCGACATTGACTACATCGTTCATTTACTTTTCCTTGGCTTTTGTCTTTGGAGCTACTATAGATGGCTGTGTGTTGAGGGATAAGTGAGTTTACATGAGTTACCCTGAGCTTTGTACTCTAGTATTTGTGGCACTGTTCTGTTTGATTTGATTATTGTTTAGGAATGGACAGTCAATGGGTGGTTCTATGGTGGTTGCAGCTTTATCATGGCCTAGCGCCTGGGTTCTCCTCATCGGTTCATTCCTATCAACGTTCGGAGCAGCTCTTCAGTGCCTTTGTTCAGCTCCTCGTTTGCTTCAAAGTATTGCTAAGGATGATGTTATTCCTATCCTCAACCCGTTTAAAAAGGTCACGAAGAATAATGAACCTTTTATGGGGTGGGTATCAGCTTAAAAGTTGATGGAGGCCTTTTAAAGCAAAATGAAGGGCGAGTGTTTGTTATGAGAGTTGTTATGGTGATTAGGAAATAGAAGATGTGTTTTTATACGGAAGATTGATGAAAGTGTAGTTGAGAAGCTTATATTTGTATTCTTAACATTTTCTTTAAAGATAATAGCTTCTTGAAAGTAGTTAACCAATATGCTTTTTTTTACCGAATCTCGTGGCTTTATACACTTTATGGGGCACGTGTAGCGCAGTGGTCGGTGGTGCCCTGTAATACACATGGGGTGTGCTCCCTTGCTCATGGTCCACCAAGCCTTCCATTCATCCGAGGTCAGCAGATCGGTACCAAACTTGTCTGGAAGGATGGCAGCACTGGTTTGATACGTCGGCAGGCAACCGCGAATCATTATAAAGGCCAGATATGCATTCAATCACCCCCAAACGATGCTCAATGAGGTCGAATGCATGGCACATCCCCAAGAGATATATCAACGCCGAGCGCTTTACCCTATTTTGTGTGCTTTATAACATCTCTGGTTTATAGTCAGGAGTTGTTGTTTTGTAAGTTTTAATCAGACTTTAATTTTCATGTTGGAATGAGCATTTGATTAGCACCTGCTTTATACTGGGTTTACAGATATCTAGATGTATCTTTATGAATTTCTATTTCAGTCTAATCGTCACGACTATAATAGCAGAGCTAGCTATCCTGTTGGGTGCTATGGACAGCATTGCAGCTGTCGTCGATTTCTTCTTCTTGATGTGCTATGCTTTCGTTAACATCATCTGCACTCTACACTCACTTCTTGGTGCACCTAACTGGCGTCCTCGTTTCACATATTATCATTGGTAACTTCCTTATTTTGACTTTTTATCAGGTATTTTTCCTACCGAACTTCGGTTTCAACACATTTGCAATGTGTGTTCTTCTTTTGAGAAGCCTACTCGAGGTCGATAAATATCTTTTATTTTCTCTTCGGAGAAAAACGACTGTAGGCGTCGACTCGGATCATCGGCTCTGAGGAAGGCGAAAACGTCGAAACAGCCGAAAATAAAGTATGTTTGTCAACCTCGTGTAAGCTCATTAAAGAAAGAACATAAATTGATCAGTTATACCGAGATTATAAAGGAAAGTCGGTCTTAAAATGCTATTACATTTCTACCATAGTAGGTTTCTCAGCAACTGCCCATAATTTTTTTGGGAACTAATGTTATTGAGGAGTTGAAAACTTGGTCGATATAGAAACGGAACCATGTCCAGTCGTCCTTAGGCCATATTTCTTTATCTAAATCATCTTTATTGTTAACTTGCTTAATTTTGGAACTTTCAAAAAGTTCGAGGAGATCGAGATTTTTGGCAAGCCTGCGAGCATCACACTTTGACAAGAAAACCCTATTTGTAGGTGTCACAAATTTAGACCCTCTTGATGGTAGGGTGAGACCCTTCTAGAAAAGAACTGTGGACTTTACTGGTTTTTATTTCAACTAATTTTAATCGCTATGATCTAATACGCTAGTTTAGCACTGAGAAGGTAATTTATGTGAGTCGTAGGACTCAGACCTCGCGAATGTTTCAGTGAAGCAGCAAATCTCGTCCCGGTCGAGAACTATTAATACAGTTTCTTTTTCTTTGAAGTTCACTAATGCATCTATATTCAGGTCGTTGTCACTTCTTGGTGCAGCATTATGCTTCTTCATTATGTTTTCAACTCATTGGGACTACGCTCTTGTATCTATATTCCTCTGTCTTATTATCTACAAATATGTGGAGTGGAAAGGGTAGGGAAAATTCGGCTCACCAACTAGGTTTGAAATAAGTTCGAATGATTTAGTGCTAAAAAGGAATGGGGTGATGGTATCCGTGGATTAGCACTTACAACTGCTCAATATTCGTTAATGAAAATCGAAGACAAAGAACCTCATCCGAAAAACTGGCGGTATGTTCTATTGTGGTTGGTATTCATTGTGAAAGAAGCGCCTTCAAATATTGATCTATTTAGTCCACAACTTTTGTTGATTCTTTCAATGCCATGGAGTAAGGAACTGCTTGATGTTCGCTATCTTAATCTTCTTAACCTTGCATCACAACTTAAAGCTGGAAGGGGACTCACAGTTGTCACATCATTCATAAGAGGAAGTGTCACCAGTCTCGATGACAGAAAACGAGCACAGCAGGTACTTTTCTTTTTTATTCCTTTTGTTCTAACATTGCTTTTTAAATGATCTTCTGGTGTTTGTTACATCCACAGATCTCTGAGACAAATAGATAAGGATAAATCTCTCGGCGTCGATCAATCGCTGAGGGATGCGCCATGCATTCGACTTCATTAGACATCGTTAGAGGTGACTGAATGCATATCTGGCGTTCACAATAACTTGTGGCGGCCTACCGATGAAACGACGCAGTGCTGCTATCTTCCCAGACGAGTCTGGGACCAATTTGCCGAGCCCGGAGGAATGGAAGGCTTGGTGGGCCTGGGCTTGGAGATCGACCCAGTGTGTTTTGCAGGGCACTTTTAACCACTGCGCCACACGCGCCTTTGATCTTTGAGACATTGCAACCTGTATGGCTATCATCTTGCTTTTGTTTCTCTAATAAGAATTATTCAGATTAAATCGCGAATGGACTTTGATATGAATCAGGTTCGATTGCGTGGTTTCGCAAAGACACTTGTACACGAAGAAGACCAGGTGACATTCAGCATTCTTTTTAATACTGGTTAGCATATACTGGTCAGCTACCTGTGTCTGCAGATTACTGGGTCGATGTCAACACTTATCCAGTCGGTTGGTCTGGGTGGTCTCAAGCCAAATACAATGCTGATCTCATGGCCAGTTCACGAGCGTGGGTCGTCCGAGAGCAGTGACTCGGAATATAACACATTCACCGGTTAGTTCTCCCTGGCTTTTTTAGGTTAGTAGTTTTTGTAGGATATTCTATTCTTTGGTTGCCTGTGACGCAGTGGTCGGAGGCTCCCTGCAATACACATGAATCAACTCCCACACCCCTGGCCCACCAAGCCTTCCATCCCTTCGGGGTCGACAAATTGGTACCAGACTTGTCCGGGAGGATAGCAGCACCGGCTCGATAGATCGGTAGGCCACCGTGAGTCATTGTAGAGGCCAGATATGCATTCAGTCACCTGTAGCCTTAATGAAGTCGAATGCTCGGCGCACCGCTCAGGGATTGATCAACGCCGGCTGCTTTTAGAACTGTTATTCTATTGTTTATAACGGATGCATTAGTTGTATTATACTTCTATCTTTCACAGCGCCGTTATCGTTGTTAGCTACGCTTGTTCCACAAATCTGTCAAATATAGTTGCTTCCTAACAAGTCATTTTATATATCATATCAAGGGATTTTCTTTTAAGCACATTTTTGTAACCACGGAAGTATGGGTTTTTCGTTAGTCGCTGAGAAACTCACATCCTTTATTTTATAGATAAACTGCACGTAGCATGCGCTATGGATATGTGCTTGCTAGTTGCAAAAGGAATAACTGATTTCCCATCAAGCGTTTTCAAGATGTCTGGATTCATGGATGTGTACTGGATTGTTCAAGATGGTGGCCTTTGCCTTCTGATGGCATATCTCCTTAAACAGCACAAGGTATTTTACTTATAGTGCGTTATTTAAGGTTTTTTTTATCAAGGATCTTAATAAAAGCATATTTTCTCAATGCTAAATGTTGGTCATTTTTTAACAGATATGTATCAGTGCTGAAACAAGTGGCGGATATACTTGGAAGAAATGCTTTGATGTATAATTAAGGTTTGGCGAGGGTGCAAATTGCGAATCATTGCCATCGCACAAGAAAGTGACAACAATCTTAAGATGCAGTCAGAGTTGCAGCAATACGTCTATCAGCTCAGAATCGATGCAAAAATATTGGTAAGTTTTTTTATTTTATATGACCCATCTTCACGTCTACTGTGCGGATCTCTGCACTTTTCACATTCGATTCGTTTCCTCGCATCCATTATCCGCGAAGATCTTCCAACTTTTATGTGTGGCTTCGGATACTGTTTGAGGGTTTTCATTTCATCTTGATTGTTGTAGAATGCTGGTCCAATCTTTTCTCCCTGAAGTCCTGAGATAGCCGGGATAGAATGTTCTCAGTTGGATTACAGAGAGCAATTTTTCTCGAACAAATCCAGTACCAATTTCTCAACCCCGAAGGGATGAGAGGCTTGGTTGGCCCGAAGCGGAATCGAACTAGTACCATGCTCATGATGACAGACATCACTACCACTACGCTACCCACCCCTATGCTATGCTTTCATGTAGTTAAAATATGTAGTGTTTTAATGGAGGGATCTTAGTGATATCTAAGTCGTTACATTACTGTTACTTTTAATGTGGTATTAAAGCATATAAAATATTTAGATAGTTGAACTAGCTGATCCAGAAATATCGAAAAACGCTTTCGAGCGCACGCTTCTCATGGAAGAACGTACCATGTTAAATAAACAAATGCAAGAGTCCAGGAGCGGAAACAACCCGTTATCGTTTTCTCGTGGAATCTCGGTATATTAAAAGGGTTTTAGACACATTTTGCGTTGAATATGGCTGACTAATTCTTCAGCCTCTAGTCATCGCAGAGAATCAAGAAAAACCTGAACGCAAAGAAGATGACGAACCAGTGGAGAGGAAGATGATCATTGGAAAAGGAAGTAGAGGTTTGTCAATTTAAAATAGTTATATTATCTCTGATGTTGCAAGCGATATTGTTAAAATTTGAAATACTTACTTAAATATTTGGATGGCCCGTCCTCATTGGTTGCGCGGACTCCAGCACAATCTCCTGTTTTCGGAGTTTTGCTGGTCCAACCTTTGTGGTTCTCTGAAGTCTTGAGATCAGCTTAGCCAGTCTGCCCAGGTCGTTGCCACCACAGGGAGTCGACGCCCTTGTGGATCAGAGAGAGATTTGCCACCATGCGACTGGTTTGATACCAAGGCGGTGATGGATCTTGGCATTGGTTCACTGTTAGCTGGGCTTCCTAATTGAAACGCCGTACTCTTTCTCAGATTGAGACCCTGTCGGCGGATGAATCCCCACTGTACTTCGCAGCCCGACACCGAGGAACACCTCCCAGTCACGATGAGACGGTAAACCGTTGGGACGAAGGTGAAATAACTATGCGACGAGTGCACTATTACTTGTTTGATTAACTTAAATCTATTATAAAAACAACAACGTTGCTGAGATATTTGCAAAACTCTGGACCGCAGGTGTCTATGGTGGGGAACGAACGCGCTATTTTCCTTTCCTAAAGATTTAAATTTGTCCTAAAGGACAATAGCACGTTCGTTCCCCACCATAGACACCTGCGGTCCAGAGTTTTGCAAATATCTCAGCAACGTTGTGGCTGTGTTTCGCTTAGTACCCTGCCGCGAAATTATAGTAGGCAGAAAATAAAAAGGTATAATATTATAAAAACAATTGTTCAAGTAAAATCGCTATCTGTTTTTAAGTAGGCGGGTAATATGCATGTTTGCAATTAGGAAATGATAGTAAATATTGCGCAGAATCACCAGAGGACGACTCCGCATCCGACGAGGTTAAAAAGGAGAAAACAATGAAAGAGAAACTTCTGGCTCTTGATCGAACGAAGGTACGAATAACATGATGGCCACTAGTGGTAAAGGCCTTAAGGACCTTAAAAAAGGGACCTTGTATTGTTGAACTGATCTGCAAATTATGTTTCAGATCATATTTCAGGTACATAAAATGCATACTGCTGTTCGACTGAATGAGTTAATCATTGAACACTCGATTAACAGTCAACTTGTTCTTCTTAATCTACCCAAACCTCCACGAGGAAAAGACGGTACGCTGAGTTTCGAATAAATTCTTATTGGGCATTGAGTTCAATTCAGTTCGACCAAATCAACTTTCGTTGTTTTTCAAAGAGAATCGTTCGTTTGAAATTGTGTTATTGACATTTGATTACAGATTTAAGCAAGTGCATAGTCATATGATACAATGTCGAATTGTTATATTTGAACTATGAGTGCATATTATACATACATACTATAGATGACTGCTGACGGCAGTGATCGATAAAAAACTAGCTGAGAGATATGCCAAACGAAGGACCCGCATGGTGTGCTGGTGAACGCGTTAGCCACGGAAAGGGTAATAGCGCGTTTGTTTCTCATCGCAGAACCTGCGGTCTGGAGTTTTGCAAATATCGCAGCATCATTATGGTTATGCATGCGTACTATACGCATAATTAAGTATATGAACTACTTCTAACAACAGTTTTTCCTCTCTTAGGACTTGATGACTACATCCACTATTTGGAAGTTCTATCGGATAAGATCAACCGCGTGATATTTGTACGTGGCACCGGAAACGAGGTTATCACCACCGACTCGTAGTCAGTGTGTGGATAGACTTCATACTTTCACTTAATTCCACGTTATTGTTAACTTTTGTGCTTCGCTTTTTCGACCCAAAACGTAACTAGTTCGACCTAGAATGACTCACTTCATTCGGATATACTGTGAAATGTACGTAATTCGCTTCGGTTATGTTGTTATACGATTATTCTTTACCGTTGCCATTGTGTGTAAACCATTCTTGCAGTGCTTGGGTATTTCTTGGCAACGGTAACTTAATGGGTGCATCAAGTATCTGCTTGACTCCGCATAATATTAGATAATATTGGCCTTAATTTCGAGTGCCTTTCTTGTTCGTCGATGTCAGTTTGGCCAAGTAGCTAAATAATTTTGCTAAAATCCAGGGCTTTTAGCCGGTACTGTGTTTGTTGACCACCTTTCTACGATTGCCACTAGCGTGGTCGAATACTCTCGCTTGACGACTTTGCATTTTTTACGATTTGAAACTTGTTCCAGATCAGTTCACTTGTCTACAGGGGACAAGTTCATTTAGTCTCAAGCGGGAGTACGGCCCGCATATCCACATGGTCGACTATTAGCTATCGACTATTATGTTCAATATTTCATTAATTATTGTATAAACGAGTAGCTTTGTGGATGAGAATTACTTACGGTATATCGATTAACCTGTTTCAGAATTTGTATTAGGTGAGAAGAAATCATGTGGATCATGGAAAATCTAGAGACATATTCGATAACCCTGAAGATTGATTTCTTCAGTGGATCGTTCTTTCTGTGTTCCAATGAATATAATCGCATTAACATTTTGATTTAAATGAGACCACAGGTATTCCTCGGAATGACCAAAAAATTTCCATACCATTAGGCTTTAAAGTTTTATTCAGCATCGATACAATAGAATTGAGATCTTGCTTAAACACATGTGAATGAATTCGATACACTCCAAATGCATACCGAAGTTCCGGCCAACGATACACTGCCAGTTGCCTCCTAGAAGAGTTGCTAAGAATTCAAACCGAAGAAGGAATATTATCTCTTCTGCTGTCGATGTTGAAAATGGAAATGGCCTTTCTATACTCTTCTACGTGGACTTGAACAGAAAAAAAATCTGCTGTTTTTCTCCACTCAAAAATATTCCAATATAATCCTGGAAAAGGGTGCGTATAAGGAAGTGGTTAAAGATACCCTGGACCTCAATTTATCTGAGTACATTTGTCTGGGAGAGGGAAAACACTGACTTAGCGTATTGATAGAACTGAAAGTCATTCTATAAGCCAAATATATATATATATATATATATATATATGCCAAATCACCCTACGACTTTTGATGCGGTCGATTGCACGGTGCCCGAGGGACTGGTCAGCGTCAAATGCTTTATGTTTTATTCCAAGTGCTGCAAAGTGGGAATAAGTTGAAAAACAGAAGGTTTTGGTATATCGATTGAATTTGAATTTCTAGCATCCAGAGTTTCCATTTCCTATGAAGAATATTGCATTCTAAACTTCGCAAACTAGTCATGGCAAATTTGCAAAAGGTTACATTTCAGAAACACTAAATGCGCTGAACCATGCTACGGCTTCCCTTTTAAAAATGATAAGGATGTGCCATATATTCGTTTTCCTAAGCATTGTTAAAAGTGATTGAATGCATATGTGGCTTTTACAATGACTCGCGATGGCCCACCGATGCATCGAGCCAGTGCTGCTATCCTCCATGACAAAGTCGTATTAGTTTCTCGATCCCGTAGGGATGGAGAGCTTGTTGGACCGGGGGCAAGCGACCGAAACAAACAATAAAACATACGGTTAAGTATGGATTCCAGGGTACCTCGAACCGCTGTGCGACACGCGCCCTGGTTTCCATTCAAGACTAGAAATTTCCGACAGAAATGCTGGTTTAAGGTTATCGAAATTTAGGCGCTAGAAATTCTCAACATCGAATTCTTGCTAACCTCAGTATTGATCAAATCAGTGTACTCTTGGCGAGCAAACACGAGGTTATACGGTAGAGTTTATTTTAGGGCACATAATAATGAATTAATATTTGATTATGAAGATGTATCTAACCTTGTTTTCTTCAATTCTTTTAATTTTATAGGACCTGATCGAGTAGGCCAGTTGAATATCAAAGTAAATAGCCATTTCTTAATGTTGAGCTCTTTTTGGGAGTTTTTCCCAATATGGGACATCTTTCCATATAGTCTTACCATGCTTTTCGTCAAAGCTCTTCTTTAGAAATGTCGCGATTTCATTTTCGATACCACATTTATCGATAGCCTTGCTGAGTACTTGAATTGCCTGAAGAGAGAGATCGATCACCGATGTATGGGAAAATATGGTATAGATACGTTCTAAATAAGTATGGAAATGCTCTAAAGGGAACAGCGATAGGTAGTGGTAAGTAAATGAATAGGAAGTTTTAAAAGGAGTCAGCGAATCAATCACCTGCATTACCTGTAGTCCCACTGATTGTCGAGTGACTCGAGGGGGCGCCAGTAAATCTTCCATTTTTCCCTGTCGGATGTAGGAGTAGCCTAGTGGGTTCTGCTCGCTCTAGGGACTCGTCGAACATCATATCTTTCTTCTAGGCTCTTCGTGAAGAACTCTGACCATTGGGTCGGTGGTCTTCCTGCAGTACACTTGACATCCCAAGGAATCCAGTCACTAACGGCTCTTATCCATCGGTTGTAATTCATACGCATTACGTTTCCGGCCCACCTTATCTCCGACTATTTGGCGTACAGAGCGGCATCTTTGATTTTTGATCGTTGCCGCAGATCGGAGCTTCGGATCCCATCCCTTATTTGTGTGAAATGGGGTATTCCCAGCCTCGTCCTCTCGACTGCGCGTTCGATAACGCTAAGTGACCTTTCATCCTGTTTACGCATCGACCAGGTTCCTGACGCGTACGTTAGGGCAGGAAAGACCGTTGAGTCGAAACGGTAGACACGAAGTTGGGTGTTCTTTGTCCTCTTCAATACATCCTAGATGCTCTTGAAAGCTACCCAAGCCGCTCGTTTCCCTCTGCTCAACTCTGGAGCTAAGTCGTTCAACATGTTGATTTCCCGACCTAGATAGATATAACTGGAGCATTCGGAGATATTCGTTTCATTGAGCGTGAATGCGGCATGCGAAATCAATCCGTTCCTCATGAATATCGTTTTTGTGAGATTTAATCGAAGACCAATCTTTCCACAGACTTTATCGAACTCGGCAAGCATTCCTTCCGCTTGGCCAATGCTTGGTGTTGTAAGTACGACATCATCAGCAATGCGAAGATGGTGTAACTGCCGACCATCGATTTTCATTCCCATATATCCCATTCCAATGTTCACATAACGTTCTGGAGGGTGGAGGGAAATAATTTTGGCGAGATGGTATTGCCTTGCTTAATTCCTCTTTTGACGTCAATGTTAATATCGTTGTAGAATGGCGATACCTTGGTTGTGAAATTTTTGTACAGCTCGCAAAGAATCTTTATGTACTCAGTAGAGACTCCTTGACTAACAAGGGGTTCCAAGACTGCTTCTAACTCAACTGAATCAAAGGCCTTCTGTAAATCGATGAAAGTGAGACAGAGCGGTCTTTTGTACTCTCGCGGTACTTCAATTAGCCTTGTTACCGTGTGGATGTGGTCCGTCGTACTAAATCCTTTTCGAAACCCTGCTTGCTCACGTGGCCGTGCTTTGTCCAGTGTTCTGCCAGTCCTGTTTAGGATGACTCGAGTGGAATGGTTATAGACGACGGGTAGTAAGCAGTTTGAGCGATAGTTGCGTATATCGTGTACGTCACCCTTCTTGAACGATAACACGGTCTTGCTGGTCATAACTGAGTAGAGACAGCTATTCAGTTAAGACCCTTGCGAGACACCTTGCATTCAGACAGCTAACGTGTGAAGAGCCGAGCCAGTGTGTTTACGAGGACTGGTGGAAGGTTTTTCAGGTGTTCTAGTTTTATCCTGTCCTGACTTGGTGATGTTGGATTTTTCACAGACGAAGTGGCATGTCGGATTTCGGAAGGGAGAAACGGCGGTACAACATATCCATCCTCCTTTATTTCATATGACGGAAGGTGGACATGGCTATCGAAGAAATCTGAGTAGTATTCGTGAGTGATTTTCTCCATTGCCTGTCTGGACGCTGTAACTGTTCCGTCTGGACGTCGGAGTGCAATCACCTAGGTCTTGTGATTGGCGAAGCTTCGGTGGGCTTTGCAAATGCTTTTCCCAGTCTCTTCAGCTTCGACCATCACTGCTGGTCTTCTCTTTTTAAGATGTTCTTTTATCACCTGTCTACATTGTTTTGCAAGTTCGGAAGTTAGTTCGCGGTTGCCTGCAGCCCGTGCGATTCCACGCTGGTGTATCAGCTCGAGTGTTTCTAGAGGCAGACGTTTCTTGGTGACTTTCGAACTCTCAGCTTTCATAGTGCTAACGGGAAGATGTTGAATGAGCCGATAGTATTCTTCGCCGATGATATCGACAACGGCATCTTCTCAACAGCCAGCTAATGAATTGAATAAGTCCCAGCTCGTGGTGGTTCTGGGACCTCGGTTCTTGAATTTAGCGGCTTTTCCTCCTTTCCGCGAGAAATAGAATCTTGCGCGAAGGTCACGATGGCCTGGTCCCGTGTAGAATTTTGGGACAACAGCGACATCGGTTAGGCAAAAAATTCGATTTACTTTGATGTGGTCTCGCGTTGAGGGTGGGGCTCTTGGAATTGCGCGTTACCGCGGATTGTCTTGGTCGCCATGATAAACTCAGATACCCACTCACCCTGTTCGTTCCATTCTAATCCGTGGGTCCCAATGTGACGTTCTTCTTGGTCCAGTCTTGGCATTGAAATCTCCAATGATGACCGTGAAGAATGTGTGATCTTCTCTAAAGAACTTCTCCAAGTCCATATAAAACGCTTCGACTTCTTTTACGCCATTGTTTGATGTCGGCGCGTAAACAATAAGTTGTTCGAATGAATCGATGTTCATGGACAAACTCGTGTTGACGACAACACCGACGCCGCCGACTCCTCTACTGTCGCATGATCCGAGGAACAGTTCTTCTCCGGTGTCATAGACGGCGTTGAATGGGTGGCGTCATCTCGTGCCAGCCGTGGCGATGACGTCGTACTTTATCCTTTTTGCTCGCATGAGCAAGTCTTCTATTGAGGACTCGGATCCAAGTGCACGTGCATTGTAGGTACAGATCATCACCTTAGTTGTTTGTAATCCAGGCAGCTTCCATTGGCCCGGAGATTTTAGCAGGCTCTCCGTACTCGTACTACCCAACGCTGCGAAAGTTGGGGCTTTTCGGGGTCAGCAAAATGAGGCCCGTTTTTTTTTCGCTGTGTTTAGCATTTTGATACCCGCATATAGCTTGATGGGCTCTGAACGTGCTGGCTGGGTATACTTACGGGTAGTTTACCGGGCTCTCTCAGAGCGGATATGGAGCTTATTTGTTGGCGACGAAACCTAACTGTTTCCCATATACTTCCCTGTGATTTGTTTGCTGGCTTTTGGCCTAATTGACTCGTAGAATACAATCTGCATAAGCGAGAACGCACCCACACACGCATGCATGAGTACGCCTAGCAAAAGTACGCGCCAAGTCGGCGCAGCAGGAACAGGGAGTCCATCCCTTGGATCTAACTGCGTCTCAGGGAAGCCAAGGTCGCTTTGGGTCCGCGATTAACCCCCTATCCGCCACCTTGGACGCGCCACGTAGCCTCGCGACTAACCGGCTCGAGATCCCTCATATGAGGGAGATCCGTGGAATGAATCAATATATCTAGAAAACAATTTTTAAGAGAGAAGGAGAACAACCTGTTTAAGTTTAACAGTTTAACAACCGTTTTATAAATAATTGAGATTGGTTCGAAATTTACATCGGCCTTTTTCTCCTCATTGATTTTGCTGTCTTTGACGATTATGTTCTCCGGTCGCAGTGCTTTCTCTTGGGGTTCACGCCATCGTCGAGATTCACGTCTGCAAGTCTCTGCTTTAGTTTTATACTGTTGTATTGTTCTAAAGAAGGGCGCTTGTAGCGCAGTGGTCCGAGGAGCCCTACAATACACATGGAATTGATCACCGCCTCAAGGTTTTCGTTTACTAACCAAGTCTTCCATCCCTCCGGGGTCCTCGAATTGGTATCAGACTCCTCTAGGAGAATAGCAACACTGGCTTGATACATCGGTAGGCCACCGCGAGTCATTGTAAAGGCCAGATACGCATTCAATCACCTCCAACGATGTTGAATGAAGTCGAATACATGGCGGACCTCTGAGGGATTGATCAATGCCGAGAGCTTTGCCTTTTGTCATTTTACTGTTCTAATGAAAAAATACTCTCAGTTGCAATCATTACGCATTCCGTGAAAGAATATTAACATTCCAGTCATTTCATTTTCGTTGGCTCACGCATATCTTTCAGTAACTAATATATATGAGGAGTCAGCTACTTGACAAGCTTGTCGAAAAGGAAAGTGTGGCGTAGCGGTTATAGGTGCTGTGCTATACTGGTTGTTAATTTGATCCAGTGTCGCTGACTAGCCGATATCCCTATCCCTTTGAGTGAAGGTTGAGAGGTGCAGTTGTTTTCGTTTGCGCATGGATTATACTGGTACAAAAAAGTAGATTTTTACGCACACGGAATTCTATGTGGTCCGACACTTCCATAGTTTCTTTGGGTTAAGTGTCCCTATTGTAGACTATATTATATAATATAATTGAATCTTTCCAACGCTTCACCATCTCATCGCTTACAGCGAGGATTCCTCTCCCACCAGTGCCTCCCAAGCTAAGAAGGAGTCCGACGTATCCGTCTAAGAGCCCAGCTAGAAGCCTTAAACCAATACGAATGGTGGGAATCACCACTGTCCTGGTATCAAATTGGTCGCGTGGTGCCAAATCTCCCTCCTTTCCACAAAAGCGGCCACTGTATGGGGCGGTGACGACCTGAGGAAGGCTTCGGCTACGCAACCTCGGAGCCCCAGGAAACTAGAGTGCCTAAACCCGTAAATCACAGGGTAATGTAAATTGCGCTGAGGTCCGCACAACCAGTGAAGACGGGCTATGATTGTATCCGGGTAAGTAAGTATTGTATGACTGAATGGTTTACCGCTGCACTGAAAGTGGTGACTGTTCGTAAACGCACAACTGCGACGCTGAACGAACATTTATTCCAGCAGTATGGTCTCTCTCCCAAGTCGAGAAAGAGTTTGACATTTTTATTTGGAAGTCTACCTAAGAGAGAATTATTACGAAGAATAACCGCTATTTCTGACAGGACTTTATAAATACACAGAAAATCCTCCCTGCTAGGGTTTTTCACGGGTTGTTTTTTTGCGACCAGTAATTATTCGCACTGATAGCGACCAGGATTGACTACTTTGGGACCAAAGGATAGAAACAAATGATTGAACCACTAATAAACCGCCTTCATCAAACGGTGCACGTCGTGCTCTCGCCAGCAACGTCAGACTGGAAGTTAATGATTCAAAGGCGACACTCAGGTTGCCTGTTCTCACTGGAGCCGCCTCAAGAGGCTCAAAATAATGCTGCCACGACACGCCATGGTAAAAAATTTTCTCTCACTCTAATTCTCTACTAGCTGAACAGTTTCTCCATTTATCAGTCGTCAAACTTCTTTTGATCGCATCCATTTCTATATGAACGCCAAGCAAAAGACAGCAATAATCCCGATGTACGTCAATTTAATCAGGGGCCGCTTGTCGTCTGTGGAGAGTAATTTCATCACAAAATGTCGGTGGCGTAAGCTTACTTTCATCCTTCTATTACAAATATTGTCGACTCTTACAAGAACGTTTAACCTCGCTTGCTTATCACCCGCCTTTAACCCATTTATCAAACGAATGGTATTCTATCACCTTTTGTCAAAGAAGAAGTAAACGCGAAGAAGTAAATATGAACTACAGATAACTGCTCTCGCAGCTACACCACAAAAGTACAGTTCTACTATCCCCATAAAAGAGGTGTTCCATGAAAGGGACACAATTTCATCAAATTTACATCATGTTTTGAATTTAATCATTATTGGGCCTACGCCGGAAAGTGCCTACGCTTTGACAGTAAATTCCAGTCAAACCCTTATTTTGCTGACGGTTTAAGATAACACCATCCTTTCTACGATTTCCATTTAAAGGCACTAATTGAAGAAGGTCTCGCAAATCGCTTCGAGAATTTGCAGCTGGAGCATAAGTACACTAACAGTTCCTTAACCTCCCAACAGCTTACCACCTCATCGTGGCTGGGAAGTGTTCCTAGGTGTCGGATTGCGATGTACAGCGGAGGGTCCTCCAAGCTGAGAAGAAGTCCGCCGTTTCCATCAGGTGGCCAGTCAGTTTCCATCAAGTTAGATGGGAGTAAACTAGTACCAGGATCCACCATAGTCTTGGTATCAAAGTCGCATGGTGGCAAATCTCTGATCCACTAGAGCTGTGACTGCCCGTGATGGTGAAGACTTGGGGAAGACCTTGGCCAGGCTGACATCACGATTCAAGGGAACCACAATGGCTTAATCATCAATTCTCCGAAAAATGCTGATTACGCTGGGGCCCGCACAACCAGTGAGGACGGGCCGTTCAAGTATCAAGCATCAACCAAGTAATAATTCCTTAAACCACTCAACCGAATTCAGAAGACAAAGGAGCTTGACAGATGGATGCAGCATGGATCTAACAAATATTGAAAATGGCTTTTCACAAATGTTGTTCCGCGTTTCTTTTGCCAATCAAAAACGAGCTGTTTCTTAATCACGTATAAAAAGTGGACACGACAACTAACGACGTCTTGAGCGAAATTGGAAAAAGATGGGGCAATTTGACACTACCCGGAGCGGGATTTACAAACAACATTTTAATACAGCAAGTTTGGTGGCCAAGAAATTTGACAGCAAGCTATCGCTGAACTACACTGTGTAAAGTGGGTCAAGAATTACCTTTTGGTGCTGATCTTTCTTCGGTATCCAACATTCATCCTTACTGCGTTGTGCACGACAATTCCTTACTAATGTTTGACTTCCTTTCTGAATGATTCTGCTCCTTATTGCTTTATTGCGTTCGCTGAAAAAAAGCAGTATCAGGTATAATTTTTGTAAAATTTGATCCCCTTCTTTCATGGATTATTTTTTCCCGTATATTTACTTTTTATAAGTTAATTCATTAGTATGGAACTCTTTAGGTAAAGTGACCATAACTTCTTAGCTAAGAGATAATGGTGTTAAGTTAAACGCCGGTCACCAGATGCTCACAGTTAGGCGCAGCTGAGTCCAGGATATTCCACTGCACTAGGGCAAGTTTTAACACATAATTTGTAATGGTGGTTTTTAATAAAAACCGATGATTTCTCGATAACTAGAGAGTCGAAGAGTTTAGAACTCTAAGATTTGTCTTTGGTCTAACCCTATTAGGATATATATGTTCTGTAAGCTATTCTTTCATTTCCAAGCTGCTTAGAATTAGTATCTAGGAGGAATTGGAAACAAAGTTTAAATTTTCATATTTCTAAAGTGGGTCATCAACCGTGGACATCATGAATTGCAATGGTGGGTACTTTCAATTCTGAATTCGAAACAGCTGAATAAAAATCTCTAACAACCTCGTGTAAGCTCAACAATATAAGCACATGTCAATTACTATTAATTCCATTTATACGAAATCTCAAAAGTTAAATGGCTTTCGTTTTGAAATTCGAGTCTCAACAAAGAAAAGAAAACCCGCCTTACTTATTTGATGCTTGAATGGTCCATTCTCACTGGTTGTCCAGGCGCCAGCATAATCTCCATTTTCTGGATATTTCCTAGTTAAGCCGTTGTTGTTCCCTGGAATCCCGAGTTCAGCCTGGCCAAATCTACTCCAGGTCGTCACCACCACAGGAAGTCGCTGCTTTTCTGGATCAGAGGGAGATTTGAACTATGCGACTAGTTTGATACCAGGACGCTAGCGGATCCTATTGGTTTATTGTTAGCTAGGCTTTCTGATGAAAACGCCGGACTCTTTCTCAGCTTAGGAGATCCTGCCGGGGAAAACGAATCCACCCGCTGTACATCGCAGTCCGACACCCAGGAACACCTAGCTACAATAAGGCGGCAGACCGTTGGGAGGGATTATGTGCCTCAGACCTCAGAAAAGCATAATTTCATTACTGTTGAGAAGGAGAACATGCTTATTATTGTGAAGAAACCGTAGATGTTTTTTACTTCGATTAGTGAACTTCGAACTCACCTGGGCATATTGTTCCAAAGTTGGTAGCAATAATAGTTCCAACGGTTTACCGCCTCATCGTGGCTGGGAGGTGTTCCTGGGTGTCGGACTGCGATGCTCAGCGGTGGATTCATCCCCTGGCAGGGTCTCCCAGGCTGAGAAGGAGTCTGGCATTTCCATCAGGAATCCTTGCTAAAAGTAAACCAATACCAGGATACACCACCGTCTTGGTATTAAAGTCGCAAGGTGGTAAATCTTCCTCTGATCCACAAAGGCTGCGACTGCCTGTGGTGGTGAAGACCTGGGGCAGACTTTGGCCAGGCTGACGTCAGGGTTCCAGGGTGTCGCAATGGCTCAACGACCAAATCCCCGAGAAATGGAGATTATGGTGCGGCGCGCAGAACAAGTGAGGACAGGCTATTCAATTATCAAGTGTTAAGTAGTAATCTTCTCACTGTTTGCATTGTATTTAATCCACATAACCAGTTATGTGTTAATAACACGGACGCACAGAAATGGGCATACACATCCATATATCACATTTTCGAGTTTGTTGAGTCACAAAACATTCTTACAGCTGAGAAAACGTTAAATGGTACACAATTGGTTGGACTGTTGAAGTCAAATGACTGATATATTTGTGGAAGAGCTTCAGCTGCTTCAGCGCTAAGCCTCTCACTAAGGAATCCCACTAACTAGACAAATACCACCGATCTATTTCTACTACTCTATATTCGATAGAGATAAAGTGTTAAGATTCTATTTTTCGGAAACCACAAGAAGATTGGAGCGGCGAGAATCTTCATTAACATGATAACCACAAAGTTCGATGTGTCCGTAGCTTCCGTCGATTCATGGCACACTATGAAGAAATAGGATAGGAATCCAAAGTTTTTATAATTTCTTGAGTTTTATAATTATACCGGTCGACACTCGGGTCCTTACCAAAATTTCAAGATTTTTTTTATTTTGTAAGGACCAAAAAAAATCAATTCACTTCAATAATATACGGCCCGTTTTCACAACTACTGTGCGGATCCCCGCAGTTCTCACATTCGATTCGTTTCCTCGCATCCATCATCCAGGTCTTCAACTTTCTGCGTGTGGCTTCGAGTGCTGCTTGAGGATTTTCATTTCAACTTGAATGTCGTGGAATGCTCGTCGAGTCGATTTTTCCTGAAGTCCTGAGATAGCCGCGCTGAACTGTTCCCAATTGCCCTGCAGAGAGTGACTTTTTTTCCGGACATGTCCGATAAGAATTTCCCGACCCAGCGGGATGACAGGCCTTGTTAGTCTGGAACAGGACCGAACCGGCACAGTGCTCGTGATGATCGGCATCACTACCACTGTGTTATCGGTCTCCTAGTTTAGAAATGCTTATGTAATTA